GAATAAACATTAAAAAAAATTTTTTTAATAAAAAAAAAAAAAGAGGTCTCAGCAACAATGAGGCTTCATTTGTAGGCTGGCTCTATATTTTCATCACTAATTACCTCCCTGATAGTCAACCTTTCTTTGCACCCAAGACTGAAAGCCTGACATTAATGGTGGCTGGCATCCAATAACCACCTATGGCTGAAATAACCGTCTTTTGAGGGGACGAGTAAGTGATAAAACAAATATAAATGCGTATATGCATTTTGATTTCTTGTTTTTGCTTTTGCTTTTCTTTAGTAAATTCCTTTGGAGTCCTGTGAAGTGGCCAGAGTCCAAGGTACCCTAAGGAAAGGCAACTTACTTCAGCTTCCTGGCCTTCTCATCAGCTGCCTGGAGCTTCCTCAGCCGCATCCTTTCTCTTGGTGTCATTTTCTGGACTTCAGACAGCGCCCGCAGAGTCTGCAGGTGGATCTTTTTTTGCCTATGAATAATAAAGATCCCCCACATGCAGCTCATCCCAAACACGCTCAGAAAAATTAAACAAATATTTTACAGAAGTATCATTACATTACCGAGAAGGGGGAAGCATCTGGAGACAGGCCAGGCAAAAACTAATAAACTCAGGGTAGGTAATGAGCCAACCAGGACTGTGGTTAATTGGCAATATTTTTCAAATTAGACTTTTGTTTAAAAGCAAATTACATATTTAACAAATTTCTGCTCATTTCATTGCCTATGACTGCTTTTTATAATGTAAGGATCAAATTAGGATCTTGGCCATCAAGGAATAAATGGACTGGCAGACTAATTCAACCATGTGCATAGGATATACTTTGGAATTAGGCAGGGTTTGAACCCCATCTCTACCACATATCAGCTCTGTAGCCTTGGGCGAGTTACTAAACCTCAGTTTTCTCATCTGTAAAGCACAGGCTATGGTGAGTACTATATGAGATAACGTATATACAGTATGTGACACATAAAAGGCCCCATATGGTAGTATTTTAGTAGCTACATTTTGTTGACGATGTTGTAAATTCTATGCTTCATACAGTAGGTAAGCATGGCACAGTGGTTATCACACAGATTAATAACAGTCTCTGGGTTCAAATATAGTGCCCAGGTTACATGTATAGGCCCTCAGGGGGTAATGTTTTAGGCATGTTCCTATAACTTAGTTTCCTTGAGTTGCTAATTATTCTTTCCCGAATGCCTGGATTCTTATTTTATTTTATATTAAGTTAGAGGTGTGACAGTAGTGGATATTTTTAAAACACTAGACTAATCTTGGCTATGACTTTGTACTGCAACTGTGAAATAGTTTACCTGATGGCGCTTACAATTAAAGTTACTTAACCTCTCTATGATCATTAAAATAATAATAATAATAATAATAATAATAATAATAATAATGACACTTAAGTCATAGGGTTCTTGTGAGTTTCAATGAGTTGACTCATGTAAAGTGCTTATAACAAAGCCAAACACCCCCAAAAATATTAGTCAATATTATTATTTAAGAGCCTCTTTCTTCAGGTAAAGAAATGTGCTTACATTACTCATGTATTGAAAGATCTGCAACCATATTCTCAATGACCTTTGTTTCTGTGCCTGACTTGGTCAGGGCCTGATACTGCAGAATGGCTTTTGTATTCAACTCCCTCCTTAAAAAACACTAGAGAAGTCTCCTCTATTTCATTTATTCCCACTCTAGTCTTTATTATTTTGTAATAATTCTAATTATTTTGGAATATTTTGTGAAATTATAATGGCTACTTGTAGATAGCTCTTATCCCTCTGGAATACAGTTGGAGCCTCTAGAAGACACAAAATTTTCTGGAATATACATCCTTTATTTTGTAAGATCAAATAGAGATCCCTAAAACATAGTCATACATAGTGAAAAAAGTGACAACTTGAAATCATATTTTATGATGAGAAAGACCACCCAAACAATTGGATTCCAGCACACTTTAATTGTAAGTGCCATCAGGTAAACTATCTCACAATTGCAGTGCAAAGTAATAGCCAAAATTAGTCTAGTATTTAAAAAATACCTACTACTCTCACATCTCTAGTTTAAAATAAAATAAAATAAAATAAGAATCCAGGCATTTGGGAAAGAATAATTGGCAACTCAAGGAAAGTAGGTTTCTCCTAGTTAGCCCCTGAGGTACAGGCTATTTTAACTGGAAATCATGCATTAGACAAAGACTTTGAGGAACCAGTTTCCTCAGTTTGAATGTGAAACTGGAAAACAGTGCAGTTGAAAACCACTGGACTAAGGGGTAGAGTAACATATCTGTGTTATTTGGCCTTGAAGATTAGGCTAATGAGGGCTACTGTTCCCACCTACAGCCTTGCACATCTCTACCTTTGCACAGGGTCATTAAAAATTAAATAGAGAGTTCCTTCAGCAAAACTGTAGATTTGGTCTTTATAAGTGGTGCTCCCCGGAGTTGTGCAGTCCACAGCCTGAAGGGCGATACATGGCTGTTCAGAAGTAACCTAGTATTCTATGCTTTTGTATGGTATAGCACAGAAATTTTGAATGAGGTAGGAGAGAGAAGTTAAATAATTATGGGGGCGCCTGGGTGGCCCAGTAGGTTAAGTGTCTGACTTCGGCTCAGGTCACGATTTCGTGGCTCGTGAGTTCAAACCCCACATCGGGCTCTGTGCCCAGAGACTGGAGCCTGCTTCAGATTCTGTGACTCCCTCTCTCTCTGCCCCTTCCCTGCTCACACTCTTTCTCCCTCTCAAAAATACATACAAACATTAAGCAAATTTTTTTTAAGAAATAATTATGCTTGTTGGGGCATCTGGGTGTTCAATCAGTTGAGCGTCTGACTCTTGGTTTCAGCTCAGGACATGATCTCACAGTTCATAGGATTAAACCCTGCACTGGGCTCTGCATTGGCAGCACAGAACCTGCTTGGTATTCTCTCGCTCTCTCTCTATCTGCCCCTCCCCGACTTGTGCTCTCTTCATAGTTATATATCTCTATATTTATAAATGAACTTTCAAAAAATAGTAATAATTATATTTGTGAAAAACACATTCTCTAGTTATATGTGTATCTGAAGAAATAAATTTTGGCTTATTTTCAATTGTCCTAGGACTTTACAATGTTGTCTTCTCAATAGATACTCTGCCAGTTCCTGTTAAACAAACAAGATGTGAAAACCATTTATGCTTAATATAGAAGGTTCATTAGCATAAATATCACTAAATGTTTGAGATATTAATTTCTCTATATACTTACAAGGCAACTGCAGAGCTACCCTGCAGATCTGTAAGCTGTGCAGTGGTTTAAAACTTTTATAATTCAATTTGCTACCACCTGGGGCAAAGGGGCTTTGGAACGCCAAGATACTGAAGCTCCTTAATTTCTTGGCAAGACTTAAGTGAATTCTAGGAAACTCCAAGCAGTCAGCTTAGCACTAATAGATTTTTAAAGACAAATGCATTTAACATTTATGCTCAATGGGCTTTTCAAAAACAAAGCAATTACTTACATGGCATTAATTATCTGAGCAGCCTCCTCCTGACAATTCAAATTCTTGTCTTCCAGAGTCATCTCCGAATATCTACACATCAGGTGCTAAAATAGAAAACAACCCTGATGCACCTTAAATACTCCTCTTCAGGGATGAAAGGGCATAAAACTACCAGGGGTCTTTTCTGATGTGCAGTATTAATGACCATGCCTGGGAGCTTGAAAATAAAACCCACTGGTAATTATTTTTCCTTCTATAAAGGGTTACAAAAAATTGCATGGTAGCTTATGCAGCTTATGCTTGTCTCTCCAAGTTCATCTTGCACTGCCTGCTCTCTCACTCCCTGCTACCCACCACGGGCAGGCCTCCCATCAGCTCCATGAACACACAGGCTCTCCCTGGCCTTGGGTCCGTGTCCCCACTCCTGGGGCCAAGACTAGGGTGGGACAGAACGAGGCACTCACTGCAGGTGCAAAACTGAAGGGGCACCAAAAGACTCAGTAACCAAGATAAGTCATATTTTAAGGCAATATTATGAAAAATCAAAATTAATGCAAAAAGCCATGGAGAATACAATATCAAATGTTTACATCTTGCCATTTGCAACATGGATGGATCTAGAGGTATAATGCTAAGTAAAGTAAGTCAGAGCAAAACAAATATCATATGATTTCATTCTTATGTGGAATTTAAGAAACAAAACAAAGGAAAAAAGAGACAAACAAACAGACCCTTAAGTATAGAGAACAAACTGCTGGTTGCCACGTGGGTGGGGGATGGGGAAACGTGACGAGGATTAAGAGTACACTTACTGTGCGATGAGCACTGAATAATGTACATACAGAACTGGTGAATCGCCGTATTGTACACCTGAAGCTAATATAACTGTTAACTTTATGTTAATTATACTAGAATTAAGAAAATAAAATAAATAAAACTTTATAAAGACAGGACCCAACCCTGAACATGCACCAGACTACCTCATTTGCATCACCCTAATCCCAGCCCTGTTGGATCCCGTCTTTGAATTTTTGATATTTTGTTACCATGGACTTTTAGAATTTTTAAAATGTTTATTCATTTTTTGAGAGAGAGACAGAGTGTGAGTGGGGGAGGGGCAGAGAGAGAGAGAGAGGGACACACAATCAAAAGCAGGCTCCAGGCTCTGAGCTGTTAGCACAGATGGGGGGCTCAAACCTAGGAAACGTGAGATCATGACCTAAGCCAAAGTTGAATGCTCAATGAGCTGAGCCATCCAGGCGCCCTATTAATTTGGATTTTTTACAAAATGTTTATTTTTTTATTTTGAGAGGGGTGGGAGTGGGGCAGAGACAGAGAGAGAGAGAGAGAGAGAGAGAGAGAGAGAGAGAGAAAATCCCAAGTAGGCTCCATGCTGTCAACACAGGGCCCAACGCAGGGCTTGATCCCATGACCCTGGGATCATAGCCTGAGCTGAAATCGAGAGTCGAATGCCCAACCAACTGAGCCACTCAGGCGCCCCTAATTTGGATTTTTTAAACACTGCAATCAAATGTTATTTATCCTGATTACTGAGTTTTTGATGGTCTCTTTAATTTTGTCCAAGGGCAAATGCCTTACTCACCTCACGCTAGTCCCAGCAGATCCCCTTGGATTCCTTTCAACTTTTTTTTTTTGGTATGCTCACAGACCCATCAGGGTGGTTTTGATCCCAACAGTTAGTACCTGTGCCTCTTTTTCAGCGGCCTGCCCTTAGGCTAATGGAACTGGCTTTGCATAGGGAAAGTTATACATAGCGAAAGCCAAGTCCCTGGGAACTTCTACCTCCCTTCCGTCCCCTGTCCTGCTCACCCCACTTTTCCTCAGGGGCTTCTGTAGAGAGCACATTGTTGCATAAGAACCCTTCCCTCCATGTCTCCCTTTAGAAACATAATCTGACTCTGGGCTCTGTCCCAGCTAATTCCCTGTGATTCCAACATTCTCTCAGGCTCTTTACATGTCTGGGTGTTTCTCACCATCTCACTGGTAGAGAAATGTAACCGACTCTTTCTTTGACCACCAAAGCCATCCCCTTCCCTTACTTTACAGCATCCTGTGTGCTTTCTTCCTAGTGTTCCTGATAATGTATGATTACTTTTTCTTGGGTACCGGGTCCTCTTCCCAGCAATCAAATTGCAAAAGACGGGAGCCACAGGCCTTCCTTTCGGCACCTCCAGCATCAGCACTGCGCCCAGCACACAACTGATGGGTGCACATCAAGTCAGCATCCTTGTTTCCTGCCAACGTAGAAACTGGACGCGGACGAAAAGGTGTGCCCATGTTTGAAGGTGAATGTCTGTTTGTGGGTCCACTTAAGATTAGTCATAAAATTAAAGGAAATTTGCCTGAGGCACTCACAAAAGCCTAATTTAAAAAACAAGAACAAAAACAAAAATCTCCAATAGGGTACTGTTTGCTTTTTTCTTACCACCAGAGGTAGATTCTCTGCATCAAAATTTCTAATCTACAGGAAAACAAAATAAATTCACCTGATCAATAAAATGGATTATTAAGACCCATAACAAAGGAGTGGAATAACAAAGACTCAGTGAAAACCCCAGATTTTAGTAGTATTAGTAGCGCATTCTTGCCTTAACAGAAATATATTTGCAAAGTAAACCAAGAGCTCTATGGGTCAATGTTGAGTTTGGGCCAAAAATTACAATCCTGACTTCTCATATCTGGGGCTCCAGGTAACTGTGGAGTTCACACACCTTCTTTTCCAAATAGATTGTCTGACTAATAATATCCCTCAGCTTAAAAAAAAAAAAAAATCTTATTTCTCCTTTCTCACTGATTCTTGATGCATCTTATTCTCACAGCATATCTTCAAGTTCTAGAATGTATATAAATGCTAATACATGTTTCCCACTATCCCTTCCATTTTAAATACCTGTAGTTGTTCATCAATGTAAGGAATTTTTAAAATTTCTATAGCAGATGGTCTCAATGAAGGACTCTTGTTCAACATGCTGTAATGTTTAAAAAGAAAATTATTTTAAGAAAAGAAAAAGAAAAAAAGAAAAGAAAAAGAAAATTATTTTTCAAATGAACTAAAATATAAGTACAATTTAAAATTGTTTTTGTGGCAACATATTTATTTCCATACCGTTCCATGATGGTATTCAGTTCTCTTGGGTATCTCTGGGGGAGAGAAGGCGTGTCACCTTCAACAATTTTTAAAACAATGGACAAGAAATTGGAGCCAGTGAACGCATGGTTCATGCAGCACATCTCATATAAAATGCATGCCAGAGACCTAAAGACAAAGTCAAAGAAATTAAATAAGGAACAAATGCCCTATTTTAAATTTGATCACCATATAAAACCTTGGATGTATCAGGGCATTGGTTGTGAGACACTAACATATCCTTTGATTTCTTTGTTTGTTTAAAAGCTTCAGTACTATATTTCTTTTCCATTTAAACACATGTTTAATAAATGAAGAGGGTAAAGTGAAAAAAAAAAACCTTACAAAATGTAAGTCTGAATGACCACTTTTTGTCAGAGGAAAACAAACAAACCTACTATGTCTGCACACAGTAGGGTAAATAAACATTTGATCAATGTAGTAAAGAACCTCTATGAAGGAACAATAAAATACAGCTAAATATCTTTCTAAGGCAGTTTTGTTAATTATATGCAAAATAAAATTTTAATTTATCAGCCTAAACTTCCCTCAAATGTGTATCCAAGCATTTTGAAAAGGAAGCTGGCATTCTTTATTAGTTTTCTGAATAGAATCCATTTACAAGTAGGGTGGAAAAGCAGCTACTTGTAGCTCACATTAAAATGTATATAATTCTCCCTTTGAGGGTATGAAATAAGAGTATTAAAATTCTAGATCAGTCTGACACTGATAGGATTAACCATGCAAATCAGTAACCTCTAAACCAGCAGAATAATCTTTTAAATAACTCTGCATCATTAAGAAAAGGGGGAAATCTTGCCTGAACTTAATATTAAGAAAGAACTGTACTTCTCCTAAATTAATGGATTATTTTTAATCTCATGAGTATTTTGGATTATGTAACTAGCCAGGTCTCTCTTTTCATGTTAGTTGCTTGAAAAATCAGGAATAAACTTACAACCAACCTTGTGTAAGTTGTGTTTTATGTAACTTTAAACACTGTCCCACTTTCTTATAAAAGGTAGTGTCTGTATAAATAAATATATACATGAATACTATCACTTTAACCATTTTGTGGGTATCATAAAAATGTTCACTAATAAGAGAATCCTGGATATACTGAATACAATGAGATGTTTCTGTTTCAGTACATAACAGTAACACTAAACATTTCTATCTAATTGGTACTTTACATATATTACAAAGCAACTTCCAGATATAACTAAACAGAATCTCATAACTTCATAGTGACGTACAGCCACTATATTTTTCCCATGCAACCTGGCTCTAAGAAGTTAAACGGCTTGATCAAATTCATAAGGTATTTTCTCTTCCACATTCTAGACTATTTTTATTACAGAACGCCAGAAAGAAGGAGGATGTTAGGATAAAACCCATGATAGTGACTAGAACACCAAGATCAATGTAAATATTATAAATTATGAAAATTAATTTTGTACCCATCCATAAGACTATTAAATAACGTAGCACATATTTAGGTTTCTATACTAGGAAAAATTTCCTTCAATAAATGTGAAATAAAGACATTTTTAGACAATCAAAAATTAAGAGAATTCATTGCCAGCAGGACAGCACTAAAAACAATCCCAAAATGGAATTCTTCAACTTGAAGAAAAATGATTCCAGGCAGAAACAAGGAATGCAGGGAGGGTCACACCTGTCAGAATGGCTAAAACTGACAACACAAGAAACAACAGGTGTTGGTGAGGATGCGGAGAAAGGGGAACCCTCTTGCACTGCTGGTGTGAATGCAAACTGGTGGAGCCAGTCTAGAAAACAACATGGAGCCTCCCCAGAAAAATTAAAAAAAGAACTATCCTATGATACAGCAATTGTACTACTAGGTATTTACCCAAAGGATACAAAATTGCATATTTGAAGGGGTACTTGCACCCGAATATTTAGAGCAGCATTGTCAACAATAGTCAAACTATAGAGAGGGTTCAAGTATCCATGGACTGATGAATAGCTAAAGAAGATGTGATATGTATATATCAATACATATTGAAAGTTTATGCTTTTATTTTGACATTGAGAACAAGATAAGTATGCCTACTATCACTACTTCTATTCAATATTGTAATGAAAGTGCTATTCAGAACAATAAGGCCAGAAAAAGTTAAATGAAAGTGTGTGTGTGTGTATAAAATGACAAATAAAAATACAAATATACAGTAATTATGTTAAATGTAAATGTATAATGTTTCAATTAAAAAGACTATCAGACAGTAAAAATTATATATATAAAGATTAGAAAAAATATATTAAACTGTCATTAGCATGTCAACATGGTTATGTACATAAAAGGTCATTTCAATAAGCCTGTGACAAACATTTAAAAAACGAAATGCATAATGCCATTTACATTAACATCATACAGTGTCAAATACCTAGGAATAAATCCAATGAAAGATATACACCCTACACTGTAAACCACAATACATTGTTAAGAGAAATTAAAGAACCTAAAAAGGGGGGGGCAGGGTGGAGGGGGAGAGATCCACATGTGTGGTTTGGAGGAGTCAAAATAATGAAGATGTCGATTTTTCCCAGAATGACCTATAGACTCAATGCAGTATCAATCAAAATCCTAGCAGACTTTTTGTGGGAATTGACAAACTGATTCTAAAACTTACATGGAAATGCAAAGGGACAAAGATAGACATGGTACATTGGAGGTCTTATATTATCAAATACCAAGATTCATTATAAAGTTACATTACTTATGAAAATGTGATATTAGCAAAGAAGAAAAAATAGACCATGGAATGAAACAGAGGGCTCAAAAACAGATCCACACAAATTCAGTCACTTGACTAATGCAAAGACAAACTGCACTATGGTAAAGAAAAAAAAATGATCCTTTTAACAAATTATGCTTGGCCAACTGAATACACATATGGAAAGTAATATATGTGGACTACTATCTCACACCAGACACATGCACAAAAATCACCAATTTTTACTATGAAAAATAAGATCATAAAGCTTGTAAAAGAAAACAAGAATATCTTCCTGATCTGGGGGAAGGCAAAGACTTCCTAAACAAAACATAAAAAAACACTGGCAGTAATGTTATGCACTGATAAAATGGACTCCATTATAATTAGGAACTTCTATTCATGAAAAGACACCACTAAGAGTGAAAAGGAAGAAACAGAGTAGGAGAAGACATTGCAGCTCAAATATTCATCAAAGACTGGTATCCAGAACTGGTTAAAGTTCATTAATTTATTAATTACAACTCCTACCAATCAATAAGAAAAAGGAGAGAACCCAATGGAAAAATGGACAAACGACTTGAAGAGACGCTAAATGGCCCCAAATCATGAGACGTTTGACATCATCAGTCATCAGAGAAAATGCAAATGAAAAGCACAGTGCAGCACCACTATACACTTTCACCGTAAGAATTGGTGAAAATGAAAAAGACAATATCAAGTCAGTACTTGTTACACTATGAGAAAAGTTTTCTTAACAAAAAGAGAGGGGAAGGCTACACATTACTAGTAAAATATAATCATCAAATCGAATCAAATGCTTTTATTTGGGTGGATATGTGTAAAATATTTGTGTGTTATCAACTCTGCCCCAATATGCTGACTTATTTTCCCCAAAGAAGAGTCTAATTTGAACCTTGAGAATGTTTAAAATAGTAGAGCTACAGGTCTATCAAGATTTGCTAATTCTAAACTGTCATTGTATTAGTGAGAAAACCAAAACTCAGAGAAAGGAAGTAATTTGCCCAGAAAGGTGCCATATTAGATCAGCTTGTTTGGTGTTGGTATTGTTCTCATTCAATATATCTTAAAAATATTTTCTAAAAAATTTACACTCACTACATACACTCTGCTATGTAATCTAATGTACATGTAGTAATTTTAACACTGAAAAAAAGGAATGAAACTCACAGGTCTAAGTGTAGAAGGCTATCAATCACTCAGCACCCACATACTCTTCTGAGGATTTAATTCAGCTCCTCCTGTGGGCTCAGAGTCTTCTTCAGGCCTTGGGTTAAAAGCACAACAAAGCCAGATAATCTCTCCTGGCTCTGATAGGTTGAAAGGGCTGGATGAAAGCAACAATCTCTGACACAGGACATTTTGAGCTGACTTGGGAGCAGACTATTATATTATCTCTATCAATAATACAAATGGTAACAATAATAATTGTAATCAGAAAAATACTAGCTGAGGGGCGCCTGGGTGGCTCAGTCGGTTGGGCAACTGACTTCGGCTCAGGTCATGATCTCGCGGTCCGTGAGTTTGAGCCCCGCATCGGGCTCTGTGCTGACAGCTCAGAGCCTGGAGCCTGATTCACATTCTGTGTCTCCCTCTCTCTCTGACCTTCCCCCATTCATGCTCTATCTCTGTCTCTAAAATGAATAAACGTTAAAAAAAATAAAAAAAATAATAAAGAAAAATACTAGCTGAAATTTTAATAGTGTTTACTATAAATTAGGCCCTGTTCTATATTCCTTACATATATTAACTCATTTAATCATTCTCATAACAATCCTAATGAAGCAGAAACTATTATTATCACTCCCATTCTTCAGATGAGGAAACCACAAGATTAGGTCAATTGTTAATGCTTCCATATTGAGTAGCTGGTGGAACTGGGATTGCAACACAGTTTGTCTGGCTCTAGAGACATGAAGTCTATGCCATCCTGCCTCTCAATGCTGTATTTCTGATCATTAAGGGCTCTTTTGAATTGGAAATCATGGCTAAACCAATGGAAGACCTTCAGGCAGGGGCTGATTTCCCAAGCTTACTTTGGGTTCTACCTGGAACCATAATTCATCTTCAGGGATCCCTAGGGCCTAAGACAAGCCATGCAGGGCATCAGACCATGCAAATATAGGGCATACAAACAATGAGACCCTCTTTGGCAAAAGGAAAGGAAGGTAGGCAAGTTTGGCTTTTGTTTTTCTGTTGCTTCTCATGGAAAGGGAGTTAGTGGTCTATTAAGTACAGTGAGTTGATCATGAAGTCAAACTCTACTTTTATGGAGACATAACTCTACGAAAGCCACATTTGATGGATATACTAGGGTTATAAAAAGCTGTGGAATTATCTGGCTAAACAGACTATAGAACAATTAGA